TTGACTGAACTGCACACCTTAATTTTTCTATCATGCACTGAAGATCGAAATCAAATGTTTTCTAGGTGTTGCTTCCTTGCTTTGTTCTTTAAATAAAATTTCATTCAAGAGCATTTAAATAAACCATGGCGACAGAAGGTTGCAAATATAGCTCTGAGGGATTGTAAAAGTTAATTAAGATTTATTGCAAAGATTCCTAATTATGAGAGTTACAGTTTTAATTCTATGATTTGGGAAAGTTATTATTTTTGTATTTGTTTAATTATAAACAGATAGCAAACAAGTCAGGTTTGTTTATTGTGATAGCCTTAATAGCTCCTAAATTTGAGGAAAAAGTTATCTATACAAAAGAGGACAAACCAACACAAATTCCTATCTTCATTTTTTATATTGTATATACATAGAGTAGTAAGAATATAATTAAAACAATTTTCTATACTATTGACCCATATTTTATTTCCATACTCAAACATGAATTATGAACGTTATTGTTCTAATGTTTTCTTTTTTTGTATTCTTGGCTCTGGTAAAATATAAGAATCTTTTGGTAAGTGGCTGATTTTCTAACTTGTTCCAACTATGCTATACATACCTGCTCATTTTTCCAAATTGTAGATGAACTTCTCAGTTCCTGATCCGATTTCTTCTGTGTGTTTGCAAATCACCATCACACGTATCTCCAGTCCTTAACCTTCTTCAATCTCTACTTGTTCTACCTTTGCTTGGTTTCTTCTACTCAGAATATTTCCCTCTCCTCCAGCCTCATTCTAATCACTATCCACTCATCCCTCAGAATAGAATGGAACAGAACAGCATGTAAATGTTGCTTCATCTGGAAAACCAATCCTTATTCTTCAGACTTGAAGAATATATATTCTCAAGAGTACGCTGGAGTTCTCCTTGGTAGACTTAGCCACAGTAGTAACTATATATTTGTGAACTGATTAGTTATTAACTTCCTGTCCACCACCAGGCTTTGAGATTCATAAGGTCTCACTCAGTATTACACGTGAGGAATATACCCAAAATACATTGAATAAATCCAAAATTTATCTATAATATTTAACATTTTTCTATTTTGGTATAAGTTGACATATAAACTACAGAAGAGGCAAAACATTAATGTGGCCCCTCAGCCCAGTGAAATTGTAATTTGTTATTAGATAACTTTGGGAAATGTTTCTCAAGTCACTTGAGAAAAAATTCCCAAAGATACTCTAAGCAGAGTCATGTGAAATCCTTCCTCTGTAGCGGTAAAATTAACTTATCAGTTAACACGCAATGAGGACTATTAAAATTTGGTTCTGAGACACTAGTTTCTATGATCTCTTTCAAATTCAACACTAGGCTCTGATTCCTTTGGGAAGAAAAACTTATACAGACACATGTTATCTTTTCCTGGAGCTATCGCATTTTCACTGTTGTGATTCTTGATGCCTTCTTAGTAACTCTCAAAACTATGACATATAGTGTTGTGGTGCAGTGGGTTGGGCCACCACTTGTGTCATTGGCATCCCATATGAGTTCCATTCCTGACTGCTCCACTTCCATTCTAGCTTCCTGCTAATGTGGGTCTCTGACACGCATGTGGGAGACAAGGATGGAGACCTAGGCTCCTGGCTTCAGAGTGGCCCAGCCCTGAATAAACCAGCAAATGAAAGGTCTCTCTCTCTCTCTCTTTATCTATCTATCCCTCTCCCTCTCTAACTCTGCTATGCAAACAAATAAGTAAATATTAAAAAAATATGATATGGAGGTAGTCCCTTGTATGTATCATTGTCCATAATATTTCATTGAGCATATAGGTGGCAATATTTTAGTTCAGTTTAGGACTCCTATGTACTTTCATATAAAATTTGAATATTTTTGATTCTTTACTACCTTTTTTATCTAGAACAAAGTCAAATTAAATTTATAATAATAAAAAATATACAAGAAGAAACTTATTGATGAGAACTGCTTAATGATATCCTTCTAGGTTAGTCTCAATATAATTACTATATTTTATTCCTAATAGTAGTATACTTTTAATCAAGTATGTCATTTTAACTGTGAAAAATAATTTATATTTATAATATGTAGAAAAATAGACTAACTGAACTCTCTTGTAACTTTACTATGAAAGATTGATGTATGTGTATATGATGTTATGAAATATTTCCATATTTGTATTTTTAAAGATTTTACCTAGTTGAAAGGTAGAATTACATGGAGAAAAGGAGAGATAGATAGATAGATGGACAGACAGACTGATTTAGAGATAGAGAGAGAGAGTGAGATCTTCCATCTGTTAGTTCACTCCCCAGATGCCCACAACAGACAGTGCTGGGTCAGGCTGAACTTCATCAGGGACTCCCAAGTCAGTGGCATTTGCTGCCAACCAAGCACATTTATCGGGAAGCTGAATGAGAAGTGCAAAGTGGCCAGGACATGGCCAGGAACTCAAATACAGGACTTGGGTGTTCCAAGGGGTGGCTTAATCTGCTGCATTACAATGCCCATCCCTCTATAAATATTTTATTTAAAGTGACATTGTTTTGCTCCAAATTTATTTATTTTGCTCTCTAGTTAAGAATGGTAATACTAGGTTGCATTTCTTGATCAATTAGCAGAAATAAATGTCTAAGAGATAATATGCTGGGGCAGGCTTTTTGGCACAAACAGTTAAGCAGCCTCTTGGGATCTCTTACTCCCACCCCTACCCCACAACATTCCATATCACACTGCTCCTGCTGCCTAAATTGGGGAGCCATATTAAGTTCTGGGTTGCTGGCTTCAGCTTGACCCAGACCTGGTTGCTGCAGGCATTCGGTAGGGGTGAACAAGTAAATAGAAGATTCATATTCATTTTTTCTCTCTCGCTTGCTGCTTTTATTGTAAATGAAAAGAAAATAAACAGTAAAAAAGAATCTAATAAAACAGAAAGGAGTAGAAGACCTTAATCTGCTTTATTCTGACAACACATTTGAAGAAAAATTTTGTTGATACTAAAGAAAAGAGGGTAAGAAAAAAGAGGAAATAGGCATCCACAATGAACAGCAATGAAGAAAATTCTTATGATGTGGAGCTATTTGTTAAATGAAGGGGAAAACTGTATAGTAAATACAGACTGTGATTGTGTAACACTACTTGGCTTTGCTTTATTTATTAAAGGCCATTTCTGAAGAGTATCAGCAAACTGAATTTAAGTATAATATTCTGAATAAAATGTTGACACTAGTTTCATATCAATGTTTTTAGTAGAATATTAAAGTTTTCTTCCCATGTTTCATAAGAATAATGTTATTAGCTTTCCACTTTGATGTAATTATAGCTACATGGAAATTTGCAAAAAAAAAAAAAAAAGAAAGAAATTACAGGAATGTTTTGTATACTTCTCTTATAGCCTCTCCCAATATTAACATTTTCATAATTTTTGGCCACAGAAACCTGGAAAATTACATTGGTGCAATCCACAGAGTTTATGCATAAGTGCATGTGCAGTTCTGTGCAATTTATCACAAAGCTTCTTGTCACTACCACTACAATAAATACAAAACTGTATCAGCCCCACAGCACTCATCCCTGTTACTCCTTCATAGTCACATTGCCCTCCTCACAAATCCTTCACCCATGGAATCAAGTAATCTGTTCTCCATATGTATAATTATGTTATTTCAAGGATAGTATATGCACGCAATCACACAGTAGGCATGCTTCCTTTGAGATTGGCTTTTTAACTAAGCATAGTGCCTCTGAGCTTCTTCTAAGTTGCGTGTTTCCATATATTCTTCATTTTTATTGCTGAACAGTTTTCAAATATATTCAATATATTTTTAAATATTACCAAATGCTGTCTTTCCATATTCTTATATTGAAGTCTTAACCCATGTACAGTTTTGGAGATACAGTCTTTACAGAGTAATTGAGGTAAAACAGATCATATGCGTAGCCCCTCAGCATATGTGACTGATATCCTCATAAAAAGAGATAAGGGGATTAGACACAAAGAACAACCTTCCAAAGAAGACACAACAGAAAATGGCCATTTGCAAGTCAAGGACACAGGCCACAGGATGAAATCAACCCTGCCTACTACTTGAACTTAGAATTCTAGCCTCCAGTACACTGAGAAAATAAATGGTGTATAAGCCATACAATTGTGGTATCTGTTATGGCTGCCCCTAGCAAACTAATACAGTGGGTAAGAATAGTTTTATCTTTATAATTGGGCATCATTGGGTATCATATGTGTTCATTTCCAATTCTTACTGCTGGAAAGGCAATCACTTATATACGCACATAACTTATGAATGATTCTCAAAATGAGTTTACATTTCTACAGCTTTTTCTGTATGTTAGGCTATATAGGTACATTACAGAGGAATTAAAAAGACTATAGACATAAAAATCATGAGTGCTTTACTACATTGTAGTAAAATAATCTATAGTGCTACAATGGGAGAATTTAAATGAATTTATCAAATTAAAAACGTGATTTAAGTACTTTTTACAAACTACATACATAGTAGCATTTTAGCACATTTGTAACTTTTTTTTTCTATTTCTTTTTGGAACTCATCAGAGTTAACCAGTTAGCTGCAATGCTTTCACAATATAGACATGAATTATAATTGAAATAAATTCTTACTACTTCTTTTATTTGACTGGAAATTAGATAGCAGCATAAGTGAGGCAACTGAAATTAAATTCATTTAGGAACATTTTATTTGTGTCTGACATCCACTGGTAAGTTATATGGACCTACTGATTAAGAAGTATAGCTACAGGAAACAGATACCTCACAAAGAAGCATTTTTATCTTATTAACCATATTGATATGAAGCATTATCAGAAACACCTCTCTGCATCTTGTGAAAGGACAAGGACAACAACCAGAAAATCACTGCTATATAGAGCATAAGACTGCATCGCATCTTGGCTGAATATCAACCCCTCAAGGGTAGTAGGCATCAAAAGGAATTATGGGTCAGTTTTGATATAACAGCACTGTAACTTACCATCTTGATCCGTGGTCACTGTAATAGCTGTGAACGGCTTGGGAGAAAAACTCAACTCGGAAACTCCATTCATGGCTTCTATTTCAAAGGTGTAATTCACGTGAGACACAAAGTCAAGTACGATCACGGAATTGTTGATCAGGCCAGTGTGTCTTGGGATGAAGCGGAGTCCTCCACCACAGTCCTCACACTGGCTGGTGTCTAAGCCACATTTCTTACAGATTATACTGTATGTGAGATCTTTTCTCCCTCCTGTGTCACTTGGTGGGCTCCATTCCAAAATAAGGGCTGTTTCATTGATGTTAAAAACCACATTCCTAGGAGCTGAAGGTGGCCCTAGAGAAAAGCAATTAAAAAACAAATGTACATATATAGGACAATCAATCACAGCACTAAAAGGAAAACTTTAGGAATAAATATGAAAATATGGCTGAAAAAACTAGGTTACAGCTAAATATGAATAAGTAGTTCTAGGGTACTTTTGCACAGAATGACTACAAATAATGTTAACATTCTGTATATATCTCTAAAGAATAGGATTTGAGGTGTTTTTACAATAAATATTCACTAATTGAAATGGTTATGGTATTTATATTAATTAGACATTACACATTTATACATTTAACAAAATATCCTACAATATCCCATAAATGTATATAACTTTTGTCTATTAATTTTTAAGAGAAATTGAAAGAAAGAAGTCAACAACTACAAATGAATAAATAAATATTAGTCTTTAAACTAGTTCGAGAAAATTCTTTTTCTGGAGAGAATTACAAAGAACATAACATTAAAAATATCTGATTAGGGTTTAGTAAGATGCCCTTAGCAGTGATGATCATCTGTATTCTAACATTTTTGTGTGTAAATTACAAATTATTAAGAAAACATTAGTTGATACATATCTAATAAAGATATGGTAGTTATATTATTAAAATTTGTTGACTGAAAATGTTTAACACAAATTATTTAAATTATGTGACATTTTTAGTTATATTTTATTAACTACCTCATCATGGTTACATACACAAATTCTGTGCAGTCTTTTAGTCTTAGTATAAAGATACTATGACTGCTGGGTAGCTAAATCTCCCACTCTTCACCTTTGAGAATCACTGAGGATCTGTTTACCAAAGTTGGGAACAAATGGCCACAAAGTTAAGACGGCAGACAATTTGGAAGAGGATGAGAAATGAAAATTGGAGACAACAAAGAAACCTTTACTAGGGACTTGACCATTTTATGAGATAAAAGCATTATATGGAAATGATAAATAGAGATCATACATAAATTGTGGAGACTAGAATTTTATTTAGGTTAACTTTACTAAACACAAGTAAGTATGTTCCTAAAACAGACCAATGCAATTTTTTTACATGTCATCAAGATTGCATAAAGCTTGTCAGTCTCAAGAAGTGAATAAACATCTTCTTTCATATTTGTCTATACATATCACACTCTTGACCACTTACCAGTCCGTAGTTATTCCAGCCATTTCTTAAAAATGTGCAAATTCTTGTTAATACTTATATGAATCCTTTAATCCTCAGTTTTATATCATTGAAAACAAATATTATCTGAAAGTTTACTAAGTGTCAGGCACTGTATGTACTAAATGCTACATGTGAAACAGAACAGTCTATGAGCTATAGGAGACTAGATTTATAAAATTCATGCTATATTTTTTATAAAACCTTATAACAAATCAAGGAATCAGCTTAGATAACAAGAGGGAATTTCTTTGCACCATTCTTTCCAGAGAGAATCTGAATTTTATATAGATTCCTATTGCATTTCCAGTTACTATTATTAATTCATTAAATAAATACCTTACTAGTGACTACTATCTGGCAGACACTGTTAACTTCGGGTCTGCTGTGGCAGATGTGATTCCTGGTTTTTTGTTATTTACATTTTAGTGTAATGGATAAACACTCACATATGTAAATAGATAAAATTCAAATTATAGTAAGTGCAATTACATAAATTAAAGGATAGGAGGTGAAATAAAAATAACTTGCAGAGGTGGTTAGTGAGTAGAATGTGCAGAGGAGCGGGGAGACTATCAGGCATCAGAAGTGTGTACTTTTTTTGTTAAGAAAAGTCTTGAAATAGTTGTGATACTGGTGGAAAATCACTGTAGCTAGAGTGTAAAAGGAGAATATATGAATTGAGATTTGAGGAACAGGAAAAAGCTAGATAATGAAGGACTGCCAGGCTTCTTGGAAAGAATCTGGGTATTATTCTACGTCCAGCAGGAAAAAACTGACAGATCTTATGTATGGACGTGATGTGTTCTAAAAAGAGCATTTGGCTGCAGTACGGTGAATAAGCACAAGGGAACCAGCAGTGAGATCTGTTATACAGTGTGAAGGGTAACATAGTATGAATCATACCCCTACATGACTGCAATATTGGGCTTGAGATACAAAGTGTTACACACTTTTTTCCTTTTTGCCAGAGCCTGATATCAGCAACCCGTCTGGTAGGGACCTCATCCACCTATATATGAGGCTATCTCAAAAGGTTCATGGAAAAACGGAATTAAAATAATGAGTTTATTTTGATGCAGTAAGAATTTGAAATCCATGCACAGGCTTTGTTCTTTTCCATAATACACATTTTCATGAACTTCCTGAAGATCCCACATGTTTAGCACCTAAACCTAGAACTAGAAATGCAATGGTAGTTTTTCTACGAAGTTACTGGATATGTTGCTTTATGACATTTAATGTTCCTGAACGTTTACAGAAATGTCTGCCTTAAAAACAAAAATATGCAGTGGATTATAACTAGATACAGAGGAAAATGTGCTTTTTACCTTCAACCTAAACTAATGCATGCGTGATAAAGATTTATTTTCATAATCAAAATGATGTCTTCGTACAGAATGACATATTCATATTATTGGGCTTTTCGATTATTTATAAGGAAGTGTGTGAATTATTTTTCACTTACATCCATGACTAGGAAGAATGTTATTAATTACATTATGGGTGTCTACAAGTATATAACTGTCAGCCTGGAGATACTTAAAAAAAAAGGCCAACACCCTTCTTACTCGAGGGCCCTCACACCAATTTGCATGACGATTAAATAGCTTTTTAATTGCTGTTAAATTATGCCAGCTAAACTGTGATTTCATGCAAATATTAAGCTGTAATGACATGCAGTGAATCATTTACTAAGATTTAGAACTTGGAACAAAGAGAGACAATTAATTCTAATCCTCAGATTCAACTAAATTGTGCGTCACTGGGCTTTTTATGAATGTGTCCTGATTGCTTTGTTATCATTTATAAATTATACAAAGATTATGTGACGCATTAAAAAAATAACTTGGCAGCAATAACCCTTTTGGAGACATCTGTATTGAAAACTCTTAGGGATTTCCTTATGTTGATTTTTTTTTCTTTAAAGGAAATAATTCACATGGAAAAAAAGAAATCTCCTCCCAACAGACTGACTTCATAAGAAGAGTAATTATTCTGTTTGCAGCTGGCTATGTTTCAAGCTCATCATACATGAAATCTTACATAAAAATTACAATTTTATCTTTATAAGTTTATCTACAATTTTATTTTCTACTAGTATTTCTACTAGAAGCATTTTGTTTTCTATATGGATTTTTTCTCACTTTTAAAAAATAAAGGCATGATGTTGTAACAGTAAAACCTATGAGCAACTTATGGCAACTGTGTCTTCCTTTTCCAGGGTAGCGACCGAATCTGTTGGCCTGTATATTCTTTTCAGCGCAGCAGGGACCAAGTACACTATGATTTTTGTTTTGCTTTACTTCATTTTAAGTGATTTCAATAGAAATTGTTTTTAAACATAACTTTCTCAAAACATGTTCCATATTATATTCCATAACATATTACCTGTCACATGAGATATCACACAAAAATGAGTTCAGTGCACAGAAGTCTCTCCTGGCAACTTGATGCTCAATAAATAACACAATTGGTTTCACTTTGTTGAATCTAATGTTTTCCCAAAATTTGTTAATAGGATCTTATTTACCATGAAGCATAAGGGGGAATACTTGTATTCTACAGAAAACCTTTTAAAAGACTAACACAGAAAGAAAACAGGTTAAGAATCATATTTCCAACACCATGTCAATTAGCATGGATGTACATTACATGTTTGCAATCACAGAAAATGTACATTAACTTATTAACTAAACAAACTGGGATTTTTCGTGTTGACTGAGGAGTAACCATGGATGAGTTTTTACATGAAAGAAAAAATATTCTGTATTAATATATGTCATAGAGGGGCCGGTGTTGTGGTGTAGCGGGTAAAGCCGCTACCTGCAGTGCCAGCATCCCATATTGCCTCCAGTTGTCGTCCTGGCTGCTCTACTTTCGATCCATCCAACTCTCTGCTATGGCCTGGGAAAGCAGTAAAAGACTGCCCAAGGCCTTGGGCACCTGTACCCTGCACCCACGTGGGAGATCTGGAAGAAGCTTCTGGCTCCTGGCTTTGGATCCGCGCAGCTCCGGCCATTGCAGCCATCTATGGAGTGTACCAGAGGATGGAAGACCTCTCTCTCTCTCTCTCTCTGCCTCTCCTTTCAAGTAAAATAAATAAATTTTTAAGAAAATGTGTCAGAGAAAACATAAGTTGGTCTTCTGTATGTAAAGTTAATTAAAAATGAATCTTAATGAAGAATGGGATGGAAGAGGAGTGGGGGGTGAAACAGTGGGTACCGGGGAAGAATCCCTATATTCCTAATGCTGTACCTATGAAATTTGTATTCATTAAATGAAAGCTTTATTAAAAAATAAGTAAAAACAAATAAAAGTTAAAAAAATCAATGAACCATTTAGAAATGTTTATTTAGGTAAATACTTTTGCAAATGAGTAATATTATAGAACTTACTAAAGAAAGAGAATTATATAGTGATAAACTATAAAGCTGCCAGATCTAGATATAGAAATAATATGATTCTAAGATGATATCATCCTTTATTATTCTTAATTTTGACTTTTTACCTATATCCATGTTGCTAATCTAATGTCTTTCCTATATAAGCTCTTAAAATGTATTTAATGGGACTATTTGTGAACAGAATTTTGTGTTCTATTTCTCTAAGTCATTTTTTATATATGTTTTTCAATAAATACATAACTATTTGGAAAAGGAGGACAATCCCTGGAGCTCCAAATTCAACACAGAGAAATAATTTTCTTTATTTATATAAAGAAATGGGATTCAGGAAAGTAGAATAATTATGTCAACTTCTTGCAATTCAAAGTGGTAGGGTGAGAGTTATTCTATGTTTAGATTATTTTTGATTCTACCACATTGTATTATAAGCTTATAGATA